GCTGAGTAAGATGACACGGAATAAATCACAATTTCTGGAAAGCTGTCGCTCTCTAGAAATCTTGTTTTTCAAGGCTGTATATTGTGAGGGAGTCACACTTCTAAGAGAAATGTATGAAAGAAAGACCAGCACTGCAAAAAGACAATGAATGGAACTCAATTCACTAAAATGAAGGAAGGTGAAGCTTCCACAGAACAAACTTTGCAATTTTAAAAAGACCAGCATCCCTTTCTCTAATACACCCTCTACCTACCAGGGAAACTAGTCTAGTCTAAAAGAAACCAGTCTCAGAAACTTAAGCTGGAAAATCACAAACTCAATAAAAGACAGTAAGCAATAAAGATGTTTAGCTGAAGTGTAAGGTTTAAAACTTGACAGAAGTTTTCCCTGTATCTATTTCTTACCCACCATGGAGGATACTGCCAAGCAAGATAACAATTTTCCCTTTTATGCAACACATCATTAAGTTTCTCAGAGAGGAAACCACATTTCACTGTTTTCTTTTCCAACAGCAGACCACTGACTCATACTACCATATGGTCGTATGGTCAAATATTTCTTTTCAAAAGGCAGTCAATGCTTAAACTTTGCATCTCATGGTACAGGTATTTTAGAATAATGTTTAGGCACAAAAAGTTTGACACACACCACCCTCCGTACCCCCCACCTTCAAGCATCATTTTCTCTTACCACATTTCTCTCTGTGCCCAGGCATAATAGGAAAAGATTATAAACACTTACTGAACACAATAGGTTCTACTGCTAGGCGAAGATTTACCCATTCGCTTAATTGCGCAACGAAGCCCACGGATGATACTGAAGAGAAACTACATTCCAGCATTTCCTGGTGAAAACACTGACCAGCAGCTGATAAAAGCATTTTACCAAAGCAGCACATTCAGCGTTCTCATTAACAAGAGAATTTCTATGCAAGACAGTGCCATCCAATGCAGAAATATATCTAGAAACTCACTAAGAGATCACATGGGTGGTGGTAGATCTGCAGAGGCTTTGATCAAGCAAAGCACAATCTAGGAGTCACATTTGTATTAGAAGACGACAATAGTATCCATGCTAAGACACTGTTCTTGCTCTGGGTAAGTTCTGCTGCTTGACATCATCAGCTCCATTTCACACACCAGATAATAGTCCCTGACTCTACTCCAGCTTGCTCCTGCAACCAAAAGTCATTTAATTCCCCTGTATAAACAAAAGTCAGAGTAAGACTCACCCACAATTACACACAAGCTAATGACATCAAGCATCAATGCTAAGCAAAAACTGCTTAGCACAGGACCTAGCTCAGGAAGACAAAGATAAATCCAAATGCCAAAACAAAGTCTTCAGAAATTCTTCCCGTGCTTCACAGCTGAAAAGTCACTACAAATGAACGGATTCTAGAAAACATTCTATGAAGCCACCGCATGGAAACCTAGTAATTCTAGACCATCCCAATGCATGCACAAGGAAAGGGCATGAAGATCGGTGTAAGGGGAGACTTGGCTTCCAAATCAAGTCCCTCACAATGATTTACATAAATAATTTGCTATGTAAAAATTTAGTGAAAGGAAAAAAAATAGTCAAGAAACATGGTCACAGAGACACTTGGTATATAGAGAATAATGGTTCTCTCTTGTTCAGCACAGTAAAGTCTAGGACAGCAATTCCTCACAACTGAATCTCCCACATAATCACAAAAGGTTTTTATCCCTTGTGTGGAGAGAGGAATTTCCTTTGGAAACACAAAGTATTCCTGCTTCAGGACATGCCCCTGCATGTGCTAGTGAGACAGGCATACAAACTTTGCTAACAAATTAAAGAGAACAAAATACTTGGTTTGGGTTGGGGTTTTTTTTTGAGAAACTCAACACTCAAAGACAAGTCAAGGGGGTTTTTACTGGCTTCTGGATAAGGCCTTGTGGATAATTTAAGACAAGTATTTCTGACACGGTCTGTCAAGATTTCAATTTTTAAAAGCTACAAGTGAAAGGAAAACCAGCTTAACTGGTTTCCTAAAATAACTGATCAATTCAACAGCAAACAATGTGCCTGCAAGAAAATGGGAAACAAGAAAAAAAATCAGTCTTAATCTTCAACTTTATAAACTTTTGAAGGGCTGTTCTCTAGGACAGAAATACTCATGGAACAATAGTTGCAGAAGTGCTTCTATACCTTGACAACAGAAAAATACTGGGCTCTGTGAAGAATTCACTGTAATTTCCAAAATGTGACAGCAAAAGACATGGGCAAACACAAACACCTGCACCGAGAGCTAAGAATGGTCTTCAGCAGGGAAGTAGGAGCCAGTTTCCTTTGATAACTAGTTTCAGTAAAAGTTAAGACCATCGAGAATTCATTCAGACAATCATGTCTATAATGTGCTCTCATTACAGATCTCAACAGGAACCTTATTCATCTCCTGAATTCCCACTGACTTAGCTGGCATGTGTACAGGGGATCTCCCCTGAACAATGCTCAACAGATTAGTATGGCTTTGGCATGATGCAAATTTTCTCTGCAGCACTGCAATTTCACTCCCCCAATACATATTCTACATTCAGTGTAGTTTTCTGTCCCAAGTATTACATATTGCTCAATTCCCAGGACACTGATCAACATTGTCATGTGGTCAGATGGAAAATTTGTGCAAGGGCTGCAGTAGGATAAAGCAAGAGGACTGATTAACCACAGTATTGTGCCCTACTCCTGACTTTTTATCCCCCATAAATGAAATCCCGGAATCAGCAAAATTCATCCGTCAGCTGTTTATCAGTTCTCATACCCTGAGGACTGAATCTCCTGAAGTTGAGATGTAAGGGCTTCTGAAATTCTCAAGTATGCCTGCAGACTATTTGGAGACAGATTTTCCTCAGTCATCTGCTAGAAAAAAGAACTTGTCATAACAAGCTTCAGGATGACATGGAGTTCAACCACTAAAAGGCAAAGCAAGTCTCCCTGCCACAGAACTGCTTGGGACCTACAGCACGGGACTCGCCTCATTCTGATTCTCTCACAGGAACCAAACTGAGCATCAGAACCTGAAATAAAATTCAAGCAGCTTTAAAATGAGCCAAAATATTACAGAAGCCAAACTTTCCTTCTCAACAGTTAACTCTTACAGATATCTGTATCTACTCTTATCATATAATGTGCATGTAACAGCCCATTTTCTTCACTGCTCAGTGTTTCAATGATCTCCCTTCACCTTCCAGAAAAAAAATGAAGTAAAAAACAATGTCTTCACCTTCCAGTACTACTAACAGGAATTTAGCATATTCCTCCCATGAGCTAGTCCTTTATGTTCAAAAGCACTCAGCACACATCATTTTAGTCACCTTCTCAAAGGGGATGCACATCAGGTACAGTCCATTCTTAATTAAGATGATTCATGGTGGGCACTTCTTAACAACACAGAGCTGCAGAAGAATACCCAGAGCAAGAGAAGACATTTTAGGGAGCCACCTACCCCTGTGGAACTCCAGTGTCTAATATTTTTTCCAGCTTCTGTACAATGGATGTCTCTAACCCTAGTCAGTTCTTCCAGCAAAGATTCTCAACTAGGGTTATACAGTGGGAATCCCAAAGCAACAGGCTATGTACAGACATATCAGCATTCCCTCCAACAGAGAGATGAAAAGGAGAAAATTCCCGAGGATGTGTGTCCTCTGCTCCATTTTCTAAATCCCAGCCTCCCCCTTGCCTTGGAATGAGCTCTACAAAGCAGTATCTGTTATGTACAATAATTTCAGCTCCCTTCCTATGGAGAGTTTCCCCTCAAAAGCGAAAGGCAAATCCCGGGACAGAGGCAGGTGCTGGGGAGGGAGTGGTCGCCTTAGGATGAGTCGCCAGAAGCAAGAGAGCCAGCAGCTTTCTTCTTAGGGCGGGCTTTTACACTTCTTACTGGAAGCTGAGGAGAAAGAAAAAGAGGCATCTTAGGCTAAGTTTGCTTTAACGTGTGTCTAACAGAAAGATGCAAGGATGCAGAATGAAAATAGGGCAAAACAACTACAACATGATGACCCCATCCATGTCATCTGTAGTCTCAAAAGGGTATTTAGCCATTCCATTGGGTTTTGGTTATTAAATGAATCACTCAACATATCCATGAACAGCAACCAGGAGAAGACATTCTAAAACAGGACAGGAATGGTAATAAAATTGAAGTCAGCTGTCAGATTATACAAAGCAATACTTCTAAATGGTAACATTTACATAACACTTTACTGCTATAATTTGTCTGCTTCTTGACTGCCATCACCAATGCAGTCCTCTGAAAGCTGCAGAAACATCTTGAACTAGTTTGAAACCTAACCTGTGTCTTTCGTTCTATTTATTGACAAGAGCACATTTATATATCTATGATGTATTCAGCCCTGGCAGGCAATCTCAGACATCTCAGTCAAAGACCTCCTACAAATCCTAGATCTGAACCAAAGATCCAACAGTCCAAGTACAAAAAACAATGTCCCCGCAGAAGGTTTTATCAGTATTCCTGTATTCAAAATAAACAGCACAGAAGAGTTGTTTCTGTCTTTTCATAATTTCACTTCAAAAATTCCTCATTTGGAAGCTTGGAATCAACTTTTTATCCTCTCATTTCCCTGCTCCTGTCTAATATGCTAGAGAAGAAAGCAGAAGGGTCAACTCAGAAGTAAGCCATAGGCATCTGAAAAAGATCCAGGCTAATTTAATAGGCATAATCAAAAGCTAACTGGACATGGTCCTGGGAACTGCCTCTAGATGGCCTTGTCTGAGCAGCAGGGTTGGATAAGATTTATTCTGAGGCCTCTCCCCCTCAATTATTCTGTGATTCTGTTACAAAGAGTACTAGTCCAAATTATTTAATATTTAGACTGAATACCTCAACAATGTGAGCCAGACATATAGCACTCTTCATCTTAACAGGATCCCAACAAAAATGGAGAAGCATTTTATCACGTATGAATCAAACCATAAGAAATGTTCAAGAGTCAAAACCTGGAAAGCAGCATCTCAAAAAGCATATTCTACAAAACACACCAATAGCTGAAAATAAACAAATAAATAAAAAGGTTGCTAAGCTTAAATGGCTCTCGGACACAATGGCATTTGTTTTCCTGTATGACTTGTTTTAATACTAAGAATTCAGCCAACTCCTGTTCCAACTGAATGTCTGTAAGTATCTTGGATTATCACATGGGATATATGAAGGGGACAGACTTCAAGACAAACTTCCAGTGTCAGCGGGAGTGGGGCAGGTGGGGAATGGTGTGGAAGGGAAAATTTCATTTTCCCCGTATCTAATATGCAAAGTCAAAGGGAGGCCTAAGAGGGTACAGAACCACTGCACTTTAGATGAAGACAAAGTGGCTTTGCTAGGGACAAATGTCACAGTACATACATTCACACTGTAAAGGACAGGAAAGAGGATATAGTCAGCAAAACCTGTTAAAAATATCTAATGGTCCACCCTCCAACACAAAACCCGAACGAAAGAAAAGCTGGGTCCTGGCCTATGACAGAGGCTTACCAGCCGTGATAAAAATACAATACTAGAGACTAGTACAGCAAGTAGATGACAAGTCCTCCAATATAAGACTCATATAGCAAAGACTTAGTTCAACAAAGTTTACACATACAGCTTTTAAATGCACTGAGACTGAAGCTAGAGCCTTCCAACAAAGCTCACAAATCAACGTCTGTGTTGGAAATAATCTGTACACCAGCTCACCTCAGCTTTCACCACCTTTTTAGGAGTTTTGAGACTCTGTGTACGTTTAGGAAGTTTGTCTCCTGCGTCTTCATCTGATGGGTCTGTTCTAGTATCTGACGGGGCTCCATTAGACCTATGTGCCACACTGCTCTCCTCTCCTGAGGAGTAACAGGAAGCTAAGGGACAAGAGAGAAGGTTTCAGCATGTATGTTTAAAGAATCACATGAAGCCTAAAATGGCTCATCCTGAAGGACCACATGAAAGGGAAATGTCAACAATCCTGAAGAAGGATAATCCAAGAAGCACAGAGATGGATCAGTAAATGGGAAGGGATTTGGGAAGACACTACAACTTCTCTCCGATAATTTGGAATCTTGTACTCCTTCTGAGACCCAAGGCATGACAACCCCAGGGAACCCCCCCTGGCTTGCCATACGAGGCCTTGTACAATGGCTGAGCAGGGCTGCTCTGTACCTGAGTCTTCAACGGTTTCCAGAAGACTCCCACCAGAGGGGTGCAGCTGCGGCTCACGGCTTCGCATATGCACAGTATCTTCATCTCGGATCAAAGTCAGATCCTGCATGCTGAAACTTCGAAGCTTCTCAGATAAAACTCCCTGGCCCTAAGAGGACATAAAAATTAGGGTGAAGGGCACTTCACCAAGCTCATCTCACATGGGATAATTCATACCGAAGAGGAGGAAAGGTGCCCTATTGCCCACTAGGGTAGCCTGAACAAAACAGAGAAGGGGAAAAAGTCTGCTCCCTAGACCAACAAGGAAGAGATTAAAGCAAAATCCATTCCACTCCCCCTTCACTTTTCCTAAGTCAAACGATGGGATTAACTGCAAAGCTAACTGGAGAAAAGGAAAAGTAGATTGGTGCCAACAAGCAGGAGTATCCCTAACAGACTCACAGCACTAACTGCTGGTACACAGAACTAAATTTCTGGGGAATTCCTGAATGTTACAGAACATGTAGGCATTACCTTTGCAGCTGCAGTAACTGCTGCATTGGCAGCAAGGTTTAACCCTCTCTTGCCAACTCGCATCATCGTTTCATAGCTCTTGTCACAAGCCTGAGTAATGTATTCATCAATTTCCTAGGAAGGCAATGTGGAACATGGCATTTAGCTACTCATTACAAAGATGATCAAAGTCTCCCCATCATCACCCTTAAAAAAGCAAAGCTCATCTGGACACTTTATTTTTCACCCAGGCTCCAAGCATCAGCTGCCATTGATCACATAACTGCAGTTCCTCTGCTACTTACAGAAAGCTTGCAAATACAACTTTTCATTACAGTATGCTCTTTCCAAATTATAAATGAAACAAAGCAGTTGCTTATACAGACAACGTGAACAAACAAACTGGCCACAGGACATGCTGCCCTATCATGATTCAAAAAGCTTAACTACTGACAGTGACTTTAAGGGCTCATGACTCTGGGTTAGCTAAACATGCTTTCTAAGCATTAGGCAAACTACTGGCTACATTACGATTTTCACTAAGCTGCAGTATGACATGGTTGTCGGAATCAGTCTATATCCACTGATGTCAGCACAAGCACGATTCACGCGTTTCAGTTTTTATTGTGACATAACTGAATCAGAAGTCAGTCAGCTCCCAGACAGGTCAGTATCTTCTAACAACAAGCAAGTACCTTCTCCTTATTGGAGAGCGTTGGGTGCACAAACTTCCTGTAGAGGACACTGGAGCCCTTGGTGTAAGGGGAGAGCAGCCAAATCACAAATGCGATTTTCAGCTCGAAATAAAAGGGAAACCTGAGAGGAGGAGGGAAGAAAAATAAAACGAAGATAGAGAAAGATGGGAGAACTGGAATCAAGATCAGCACAGAGACAGATGGAAATTACTGACAGAGAGCAGCACAGGCAGAAAGAGCATAGGCAAGATAAAGGCTCAGAAACAAAAGAATCAATTTATCAAGTCAGAATAGCAGAACCCTCTTTAGAATCCTAGGACATACCTTCTTCGAGTCTCATTTAGTCTTTCATCCATAGCCATGAAAACTCCATAAACAGGGCATCTCTCAGCCCTGCAAACACACCAAGTTACAATCTGATAGCTACTCTCATTATTCTGGTTTGTTCAGAGTATCTGGTGGATGTTAATACTACATTAGATTCCCTTATCATTTTCCAAAATTTTTAACTACATATCTCAATAATGACAAGTTCCTGCTAAGGCTGATGGCTGTTTCTGAAACTTCCAGTAGGTACTCCTCAGAAAACACAAAAGGAGGGCCAGTGTCAATGAAAAAGTGCAGGCAGAATGTCTCTCATCTCTAACCCTTACCCAGAAAAGTCTCTGGGAAGATACAATAACAGAAATTGAAACGAGTGAATGCAAACTCTCTACTGACTCTATTAGTATTAAGAAACTTTTCAGTGGTCTATTTTAAGTACATGAACAAGCTATCGCTCCTGAACCTTTTACATATTTGTCTGCTTTTCAAAGTTTATGCAGGAAGAAGCAAAACTGCTGAGAACTTCTGTAATGCATGTGTAGACATTTCATGATTCTTAAAAGAAGAAACTCTTGACTAACACTGTTTCAGAGATGTATGCAAAGCTCAAACACTAATACAATAAAGAAACTGCAGACATCCTGTTCCAAAGGTTCAGTTAAAGCCCTGTAACCATTTGTCATTTTTGGAGGCTTCCACATTGCCAAGCATGACATACAGCACTGCAGGGAGTAAGAATCTGCTTCTCTCAACTCCAGTCCATCCCACCCTGCTCTCCCTAGTGGAAGTTCTTTATGCAAGCCACTCACAGCACAGATACCCATGGGATCTGCTCCTTCACACAACAGGCCGTCAAAGCAGAACCGGTCCCTTCCTTCTACCATTTTGTTTTCTAAGTGTCTTTTAGACCAGCATTTTTCAAACTTTACCAGTTCACATTAATAGCTTCTCAAAAATATTTTTGTTATGAATGGATGAAGATCCTCTTAAAAACACTGTGCACTTATCCTAACTTTGCAAGTACAGGAGATGAAACAGCTAAGTACCCACAGTAGCTACAAACTTGCTGACTTCATAGGCATTGAAAACTCCTAAAGGAGAGACAGTTTATTCTTAGCATCCTAACACTACTCCTCTCTTCTTAAAAAAACACAACAAAACAAAACAAAAATCAGCAAAAAAAAAAACCCACGCCACCAAAGAACTCACCAAGAAAGAACAATGTCTGTGAGTGTTTCTGCAGTGGTGAAAAAGGCAAACACAATCCAGTACATCATCCACTTCACCTGCAAAAGAGCAGTCACTCAATAGACCCAGAAAAAAAGTGAAATGTCTTCTAGGTAATAATGACTCACCATCTCCACACATTAATATGAATTCAACAAGAAGCATACATAATCAGTAATGGAGAGGGTCACACTAAATGGTACATTATAGCCTGGGAAAACATGTAGGATTAATGTGCTCTAAATAGATAAATGCATACAGATACACTGATGAATGTATACCCTGTAGCAACATCATGATGCAACAGTGTTAAGGTCTCAAACAAGCCATCAGAAAAGACTAAGCAGTTCACTTTTAGTCCTTCATATATCATTATTATTGCAATAAATATATATACACACATGTACAAGTTTCAACTGTAGCCCTGTATTTCCTGATGTAAAGCTTTTCCTTGGGGGGGGGGGAAGAGAAACAACAAACCAACAGATATATTACTTTGCTCTAACCCAGTAATAAGTATTCTTGCTTTATCCATTATAACAGCAATTCTTTTTCCTTTTTAAATAAAGGCTGAGAGAGGCAAAAAAAGCAAAGATCATGCTGCAGCAACCTTATCATCTTGTTTAAGGTTCTGACTATATATATAGACAAAGTACTCTGTGCTATTATGGCAGATCTGTAGGCCTATCCTCTATCTTCCTACTTCCTCACACTTTTATCTCAGGCAGCATTTCTTTCAAAGCAAGCATAAAATAATTCCCCCAACAAACACACACTCACGTTCTGCTGTTTTAGTAACAGGTTTCTCAGCTACAGGCCAATTATTCGTAAAGAGCAATCAGCTAAATAATAAAACCTGCTCTCTTATAAGGTACAGTTTTTCAGGGTGATGAGACTTACAAACAAACATAAATAGCAGATAAAGGGAAAGAAGAGGACACCTTTGCTAAATGTAATTTAACACTTAGTGTCATCAATTCCATATATTCAATCCACACACTAATCCAGATATTAAAATTAATTAACGACATGTTGACAATCGGTGCTACAGCAAACGATGTAAAAGCAGGATTTCCCCAAACTTGCATGTGTTGGAAAATCTGGTGATTTGCTCTTGAAAGACCCTTCAAAACTTTTTCAAAAAATAAAATTAAGCTGCCTCCAGCCCCTCTTAACACAGTGGATGGTTTAGAAGATTGTGGCTAGTAAACCAAATTATTTCCACTTTATTTGTGATTTTTTTTTTCACAACAGAAGGTAGCAAAATCTGTATTGGATGGCTCTCTCCTGCCTTTTTTTTCCCTTTTATCATCAGTTTGGACAGGATCAGGTGTCATTCAGTTGATCTAAAGCAACTCTATGAAATGAATGGTTAACTCTTCAGTGCAGCAACATAAATCAGCTCTTGTATGAAAAAGTGTGTGAATAATGATAAATCAAGGTTGGAAAAAGGGATCTCAAAGGGCAAGACATTTCAGAGAAGCTACATACCAGTAAATCTTACTTCAGCATTAGGCAAAAAAAAGGCAATAATAATAAAAGCAATTAGCAGACACATATATATACACACATGTAACAAAATGAGAACTGTGGGGTTTTTTTAAGAAAACAGATTTCACAAATGTAGCAGAACCCTTAGGTTTCCATAAGCTCTTGATATAGTGTTACCCTTACAGATATGGTGTATGAAATTTCTAAATGGTTTCTAATAGGTCTAAAGAAACACTTAAAAGAAACAAAATTGTCAAGGATAAAAAGGAAGGGACTCTTGAGGATTAACGGTTAAAAGAGAGGAAACAAAGGATAAAAATAAATGGTCATTTTTCACAATGAGGAAAGTTACCAGTGGAATCCCACAGGAATCAGTGTTGAGATCTGTGCTGCTCATCTTCATGAAAGATCTGGAAAAGGTTGCGAATCATAAGATGACAAACTGCAGAAGATATTTTTCTACCCAAGGGATTAAGTATGAGTTGATTAAAGAATTCTGAAAAGGATCCCAGTTCATCTCCATTTTGTCTCTAAATGTGATTAAATACAAAGCAATCAATGAACTTGCAGTATCTGCTTTTTCTGAGTGAAAACTATTGTTTATATAAATTAGCTGACGCCACTCAGGAGGGGTCACTGTAGGCAGCCTGATGAAGCCATAAGCTCAGTGCTCATTAGACTTTTTTCACTCTGCTAACAGAATGCTCAGGAGTATTAGATCATGAACTGAGAAGAACAGAAAACATTGCTTTGTTACTGTTTAAATAAACTGAATGTTCACCTTTATGGTACTGAACACAGATCTCATACCTTCTGTCTCCTTATGTCATCCCTCAGCCTATGCTCTATAAGCCAAAGACAAAAAGAAAAACAGCTCTTAAATAAATAGGATCCAACTTCTAGTTTTGCAAGTCCCTGAAGTGCAGATGACCAGAAACCACAAGATCAGAAAGCAGAAGCGAAGAATCACTGGTTTTTTTTTACTTATGTTAGGTTACAAACACCTTCCAAAAGTCAAACCAAGCTGGGCTGTTCTTGTTTTCCAGTCCACTAAAAGTAGTCAAGTCTTTGCTGCTCAAGTTGATGATCACTAACTTCAGCTACCTGCACATACATAGCCTCCCTGACTTGCACCAAGAAGCTAAATAAACTCAGCAAATGCAAGAGCAGAATGGGAATGTAGATTTGACCAAAGCTGAAGATGACACATAAAAACAAAGGAACTGCTTTTAGGATAGTCTGAGCTACTAGAAGCATTTGGCCATAGCTGCTAATGAACATAGCATAAATTTGCATCATGGTGGTAGAGAAGAGCAAGTTTGCACTGCACTCTGATGCCACTGGTGAACTGTTTGTGGTAGCTTGGTCTGTGTCAACTCAAGCTTCAATACACCACTTTAGCACCTCTAAGACCTTTCTCTACCACCTAACCCTAACCAATGTTGGTTCTTAAGCAGTACGAACAAGCAGTAGTACATAGGAACAGCTGGCTTTGAAAATGGACAGCACAGCATTCAAGTTTTCCACTGACTTTTCACATGAAAAACGCTTTGAACAGCTACTGGCCCCATTTCATATGTTTAACAAAATTGGTTTTCCCCCATCTTTCCACTTACGTTGCAAAGGAAGAAGCCCTTTGAAGATAAATGAATTAAGCAGATGGCAATCCATCATCTAAGTGCTTACTTCTGATGTAGTCAGAAATAGGAGAGATAATACATAAGATCAGTTTTAGCAGTTCAAATACATTTTCTTGAACCAACTCCAGCATTTTTTCACTGAAACTGAAGATAAAATTTGTTGCTGCAGCAATCCAGAATTATCTCCTTCAGGAAAGAATTCACTAAACAAACCCCAAAAATTAATGCCATACTTTTCCACATCAGCTAGTGGGGCTTACAACCAAGCGATCAGTTGATATTGTTGAGACAACTTCATGAGGCTCAAGGACTGCATCTCATTTCTATTTGTGGCTGACCCATCTGAAGTGTTCCAGGCCAGGTTGAACAGGGCTTGGAGCGGAGCAACCTGGGCTAGCGGAAGGTGTCCCTGCAGGAGGGGTTGGAACAAGATGAGCTTTAAGGTCCCTTCCAACCCAAACCTTTCTGTGATTCTATGACTTTTCACCATCAGATTAAGAAAGTCTAGCAGCTACTTAGGTAGCACTGACAAAAAGAAAATCCCATCTATGCAAGGTTTACATTCTACAAAGAAAGAAAGCATTTATGCACCCCAACAGCACCTACCCACCAAAAATAAGCAAGTTTTTACTGTAAAGAATGCCAGTCGTTTGTAAAAAATGAGGGTTTGTGAGATTTTTTTTTTTTGCCCCACCAAGTTCTCAAGAAAATGATTCAAACCTTTGAAATCTGCCTTCAAGTTCAGATTCTGCAAGTGGAATACAATCATTCTGTTACAGACATTCATGAATCAGCATAATATTCCAGACAAGAAATACGCATTTCATGCAACAAACGAAGGTTACTGCAACTGAAAGGAAGGAGGTGAGGAATGCCAGAGAAGACAATACTAATATACTACTTCATATATAACTTCAGAGGTAACTATGAAGTCAACAGGCTCATGCAGTTATGTCAGTTTCTTTAGTGCTTTCTTTCCAGTTTCTAATGTTATTACTAATAAAATGAATTTTAGTAGGGTTCACTGTACTACTGACTGTATCTCTCATCCTCACTTAAAACCATTTATCCATTATCCATGCCTCCTGAACACTCACATTTCAACTTCTCTGCCGAGACCAGTATTAAAACTAAAACCGAACCCAACACCTCAGCCAGATGTTGTAGCTTGTAAAGCTGTCCACTATGAGCAAGATTCACACCTCAGCTAGCATCTCCTTCCCAACCTGTGGGCTGAATTTTAGCCAGTGCACAGGAAACGTCTAGTCAACTCTAGAGGGCTGAAGCAGCATTAGCCAAAACAGGTCTATATCTTACAAAATTTATTGTTGACATGTCATTTGGCAAGGAGCAAACAGAGACAGGTGGATGAAGAGTCTCAGACTGCACCACAAAGCAATACTGACAAATTACAGCCTATTCACCCAAGGTACTTCTTAATCAGGTTATGCCTTGCTCTATACAAACAGAAACTTGTCCCACCCGCAAGACATATAGCTCGTCTCTGCTGATCGACCTGGAACACTCGTTTTAAGTACAGTAATTGCAACAACGGTGTAGACACAGAAAGGGAAACGATTCCAGTAGGGGAAGAGGATGAAGTCTTGATCAACAGAAAACACAGATCGCAAGCAAAGTTAATAGGAAGACACAAACCAAACAAGATTACTCAGCCCTTCGGAAGAAAACAGAAGCGGTACTAACAAAGCAGTAAAGGACATAGAGCAAGGATAGATTTACAGGGAAGAACTTGTCCTGGACTTTCATATGCCTCCAGACAGCAGTGTTTCCCCCGCTTTCCCCTCCTCACTCAGCATCTCCTGAGAAAAAACAGCCCACGTTTGCGGTTCGAAATTTCCCATTTTAGCAAGCGCTTCCTCGGCAGCTTCTCCAGCGAGGCTGCGGCCGGGGCGGGCGCTGCTCCTGCACGGCGACCTCGTACTCACATATTCCTTCACGTTCTTCGTCTTCACGGCCTTGTACGAGGAGTACGCGGGGTAGAGGGTACCGAAGATCAGCCTGCGGGAAACACAGACCGCTCAGCGCTCCCGCGGCACGGCCCGCGGCTCCCGCG